TTGGGAAGATCCCCTGGGGGCGGGTATGGCAATCCACTCCAGTTTTTTGCCTGGAGAGTTCCATGGACAGAGGAGCCTGGGGGGCCACAGTGCATGTGGCTACAGACAGTGAGACATGAGTGAGCGGCAGAGCACACGTGCACACATGCTGGTAACACCATCACAGCGGTCAAAGTGAAACTGTTAGCTGTTCAGTCGTGTCTACTCTTTGTGACCCCCATGGGCTGTAGCCCACCAGGCTCCTCTGTCAACCCAGGAGTCTCCGCACTGAAGGCAGATTCTTTACCGTCTGAGCCACCAATGTAACCAAACATCCAGCGTCATTTGGGACGGGCTATCCTAAAAAGTTCCATGGTGACCTTAAGAGGCCACCCAGAATACAATCCCACATGCTGCTCCAAAATGTTCAACAACCGAAGCAGCCCCACTTTTGTCTATTTCAAGTAATAGTAAGTAGATTTGAGCTTAGAGAAGGAGTAAGAGTAAAATGAGTTCCACTACTTTCTTTTTTTAACCAATTTACTGCCAGATATCATCAACTATAGGTTTAGATCAATGAACAGAGTTTCTGACCAACTTCGAGCCGCTCCCTGCCTGTCCCCCTTCTCCGTGAAGGGACATAAGAGAGGAGCAGAGCAGTTGCAGCTTTCCTGCGTTCCTCCCAGACGCAGGGAAGCTGGCCTTGCGCCCTCACAGTTCCAACAGTTCTAATGAAACTGTTAAAGAACAGCACTGGAGTCTTCAAATGATGGAGCCTGGTTTGGGGTTATCATCAGAAATACGGTGCCAAATTTTCATTAAGTTCCAAAATGAGCTAACTATATAATGAAGAAAAACAATGTTAAATCATATCCTAGAAGCCCAAATTTTAAAACACAGAACAATGAAGGGGGAAAAAAAGAAAGCTGCAGAAGACCAGAGTCGTACTGCCAATTTTGCCTCTATCTAGTCACAAGATTAAAGCAAATATTTTATTTTCTGGGTTCCACCCCCCTCAAACATATCCACAAACAAACTAAGTCTCCATAGAAGAGTTCACAAATTAAAAATCCTTTCCAGGTATAGCTTTATTTACAGGGTGAGTTTCTAAATACTAGATACAATGTTATGGCCCTGATTAATACTTACTAGGAAATAAGACATATGCAAATTATTATTAAACACAATATTCAGTCAAAGTTGTTAAATATCATAAAAGAAAAGAAACTACTTACTTTGTGATCAAAAGAAAATTAGGGCTAAACAGACATTTATATCTGCTCTGATATCTTCCCTCAAGAGGAACTAAAAAACAGCTAAGTGAACAAATCTAAATTATAGCAATATAACATCACTGAATTGTTAATAATTTGACTTACTCATTCTGTTCCTAGACAGCATAAAACATCATCTGTTTGCAGTTCATTGAAAATTATTCCAGAGATATCTAAAACCTCTTTAATATTCTTCTCAGTATATAAAACTTTTCTAGTGTAGCATCTTATTATCCTATCCACACTATTCCTGTCTGAACATTCAGTTCCACTCACTGGAATAAACATCTGCTACAAACATTATTAACGAGATACATATCAAAGGATCCAAGCAAGTTCCTAACTATACCTGGGGTAATCACACTGTTCTGCACAAAAACCATCAGAGCAGTAACTACGTTCAGAAGCTCCCTGAACATATTGCAGACAGTTTATCTACATGACAGCTGTCTCTACAAGTCACCAAGTACTTGTCAGGACACATATAGCATGACCACATGTCTAGCACTCAATTATAACAAAGGCATAGGACATTTTTATGAGGGAAAAAAAATACAATTTACATTTCAAGTGTATATATTTAGTGAATTGCTTATATAAAAACTCAAAACCAGGAGCTAAGCAATAACTACAATGAACTGTGTATTCAATTTTTGTTAAAGCAAGAATGCTTGTATATATATGTGTCTTACATATACATACATTATATATATATATATACACACACACACACACACATATAATACACATACATAAGAAGTATGTGTGAGAATATCAGTAGCTATCTTTTACTGAGTGTCCACTGTATGCTTAACTGTTTGGAATTACTTTATTTAATTCTTTTAAAGCAAATCTATTGAGTCATGGATTGCCATTATCTTACATAAATCCAAACATTTTTCTTAGGGTCTTCTAGCTTTGCCCTACCCTACGTGTCATGTTCTTTGAACTATACTGCTGCTGCTGCTGCTTTGGCTAAATGGTTTACATTTTTGTTTGAAAATTAATGTGACAGAGAGTTGTCACATTTAAAATCTCAAAAACTTCACAACCATCACAAGTGTTCCCATAACTTTCATGCGAAGACATTTGCAGCTTTTCAATGATTAACTGATCCAATAAACATTTAATGAGTGCCCATCACATGCGAATATTCATTGGAAGGACTGATGTTGAAGCTGAAACTGCAATACTTTGGCCAGCTGATGCAAAGAGCTGACTCATTTGAAAAGACCCTGATGCTAGGAAAGATTGAGCAGGAGGAGAAGGGAACGGCAGAGGATGAGATGGCTGGGTGGCATCACCAACTCGATAGATATGGGTTTGGGTGAACTGCAGGAGCTGGTGATGGACAGGGAGGCCTGGCGTGCGGTTCATGGGGTCACAAAGAGTCGGACACGACTGAGCGACTGAACTGAACTGAGCTGAACTGAACTGAACATCACCTGCCAGGCACTGAGGACACAGCAGTTAAAAGCGAAGTCTCAGCTCTCACAAGATTTGCTCTCATTACGACTTCAATTCGTTAAAAGACTTTTGGTTGTCTGTTACAAGTTATCCCCATAGCATTACATACTTCTTATGGCAAATATACTTTGAGTTATTTTCTTTTACTTCATTATTGGCATTACAATAGTAGTTGTAAAAATATTAACAGTAAAATCAAGTTGTACCCACTCCATATCTCCATAGGTATCTTTTAAGGTCACCACAAAGTTAAATGTAGATGAAGACAGCATTATAAAAAAAGATATAATTATCACTCTGACATTCAAAAACTGTCATAAAAATCAAATGTAACTTATATCATCTTCAAAATAATTCTTTAAAAACTAAAATATGAAAACAGGATCTTAAAGAGATTATTTTCTTTCCCATTTTTACTGCAGCATTATTTATAATAGGTGAGATATGAAAATAACCTATCCACCAACAGATGAATAAAAATGCTATATGTAAGTGTATATATATATATATATATATATATATATATATAATGTATATTACACACACACACACACAGAGGAATATTATTCAGCCATGAGAAAGAAGAAAACCCTGTCACTTGGGACAACATGGAATTTGAGGATATCAGTTAAGTAGAATAAGGAAGAAAAGACAAATGGTGTCACTTACATGTGGAATCTAAAAAAGGCAAACTCACAGAAACGGAAACTGGAATGGTAGCTACCACAGGATGAGAGGATGGGAAAAAGAGGAGATACTAATCAAAGGGCACAAGCTGCCAGTTATAGGACAAATACATTCTGAGGGTCTAATGCACAACATGATGATCATAGTTACTATTGTATTTGCATACTTGAAAATTGCTACGATGATAGGTCTTAAATGTTCTCACCACCGAAAAGAAATGGTTATTATGGAAGTGACAGAAGTGTTAGTTAACACCATGGCAGTAACCATTTTGCAATACATGTGTATCAAATTAACAATTTGAACACCTTAAACCTGCATAATGCCATGTCAAATTGTATCTCAACAAACTTGGAAAAAAACTAAAATATACATATATGTATATATGAAAGTGAAAGTGAAGCCGCGCAGTCACGTCCAACTCTTTGTGACCCCATGGACTGCAGCCTTCTAAAGGCTTCTCCGTCCATGGGATTTTCCAGGCAAGAGTAATGGAGTGGGTTGCCATTTCCTTCTCCAGGGGATCTTCCCGACTCAGGGCTCAAACCCAGGTTTCCCGCATTGCAGGCAGACTCTTTACCTTCTGAGCCATGAAGGAAGCCCCACACGTGTGTGTATATATCACACACATATGTGTGTTCATGCTAAGTTGCTTCAGTTGTGTCCGACTCTTTGTGACCCTACTGACTGTAGCCTGCCAATCTCCTCTGTCCATGGGATTCTCCAGACAAGAATATGGGGAAGACTGCCATGCCCTCCTTCAGGGGATCTTCCTGACCCAGGAATCGAACCTGCATCTCCTGCATTGCTGGTGGATTCTCTTACTGCTGAGCCACTGGGGAAGCCCATACACATACTACGTACACTCTGATTATTCTAAAATATTTCCTTCATTATGAAAAAACTCATGACTTCTATATTAATATCTGTTAAAGTAGTTATTTCAACTAGTATAAAATTGGCTGAATGAATAAATACATATATAGCAAAGCCATATAAAATAGATTACAATCAAGAAAAAGTTAAATGGTATTGAGGAAGCATAAAATTTTTACTAATCAGTATTTTTAAACTTAGGAATATGAAACGTGAAGCTAAGCTCTGTTGTAAGAACAGACCCTTAAGAGTGGATAAAATCACAAAAAGTATTAGTAAGGATTAACAGAAAAAGAAAAACTATCGAAGGAATAAAATATAGAATGAATCAGGGGACATGGTAATTTTTAGATTATAAACTTATAATACATCTGTTAATTTCAGAAGTGCCCAAAACCATTAAAGACAAGGTGGTGGGCAGCAGACATGCCAAAAAGTACAATATTATTAAGAAAAAGTACTTTCAGATTTAAATCTGGTATAGATTCATGTCAAACTAACATAAAACTGAAACCAAATATTTAGAAAAGGAAAGATATAACTGTAGTAGACAACTAAGAATACTAACAAAACAAAAACTATACAATATATGAAACAGGCTTATTTTGCTGGTCATGTCACTCCCCAGAGTGCAAACCTTCTGTCACAACAAAGCAATATTCTTAAAGCATTCGTGTTATTTAGTATAACTTTTTTTTTTCCAGAAGTCTAACTTACCGAGTACCATCTGCTTTCCAGCTTACTTTATATGGCTTCTGTTCCAAAAGTTTAATGTTTTGCTTGTCCATGGAAACAGGTTGTGCTCCAGGGAATCCAGACCTTAACGAAGATCACTGTATCACTATTATGGCTGGTATCCATACAAAGCAATACATGTCTTAAACCAATCTCACATGAGTCACACAGGTAGCACAATGGTCTCCCAATCATGAAATGAACATCAGTTGGAGTAATGCAAGCTTTCACAAGAATACTAACAAAACGTTATTATTTTCTTGACATTTTAAAATGTGAGTTAACAAGATCCTAAATGCCACTGTGAATTATGACTACGGGGCTAATTTTTAAATATTAACATACATGATTAAATAGCAAAGCACATCTATTTTACAAGCCTTTTACTCCAGGAAGAAGTTGAAGTCTCGCCTTAACCATCTTACATACTCCCCATCATGACACTGCCAATCTGGCATAACTCTGCAGGGTTGGCAAGTTTCTGCTCGAAAGATGCCCAGAAGTGACAAAACAGGAGAAATTTAGGTTGAGATTAAGGTGCACTGGCAAGGGTTTAACAGAACACTAAAACTGACATCACTTCATCATCATTTGCAACTTTCAGTTAAAATTATTTCTAGTTGATTGATCTGTATGTACCAGTTCAAAGGTTCTTCGTACTAGGAATTTTTAACAACACCGCTATTTCCTCACGTTCTAACTGTATGCTCGTTTTCTGCCGCAGACGGCAAAGACCAAGACCCGAGGGCACCAGGGAAGAGCCAGGAGCCCCTCCTGAGCGCTCTGCCATGAAACGTCTGTGAGTCTCTTCAAGCCATGGGAAGGGGCAGAGTCTACGTAAAGCTGATTCTTCTAGGTTTCTGATGACAGAGAAACTGGAAAGTGAGGCTCATTCAAGTTTCACCTCTTCTTTCTTAATAAAATCATAATGGTAACAAAACGCTAATCAGCAACAGTAGAATCAAACCCACAAACCAAATACCTGAAAGTAACAATAGTAATTTTCTATTCCTCTAGAGAAGACATGTGAGTCACCTAATTTTGACCCTGTTTATCTTGAGAAAAATCTGATAAGACTTTTGCTTGACAAAGAACTCTACGTAAACACAGCAACTTCATGGAGAGAGCAGCTGCGTCCGTCCGCATCCGTGCTAAGCACCGCAGAGCAGGAGTGACCCCCCGGGACACGGCAGCCGGCAGTCAGAGCGCTCACCCTTCCCAGCCACAAAGCCGGCGGCTCTTCTGCTGCACCTCTCCTAACTTGGGCTGCGTTGTCACTTGAGTCACACCTTTGACAGTTACACCCTCCAAAAATACAGCGCCCTGAAAACAAAGGAAAAGAAAAACACATTAGCGTTCAAGTCATCTACAAAGACTACACGGAATGACACGTTCATTTATTTTCAGAAATCTGAGTAAATACATGCAACAAACACTCAGCTATAGGAGGTTCTACAGACTTCTATGGGATTGTACACTAGTCTTCCTTAATCCAGCATATGATCTTCAATGTACATATACAGCCCAGTCTCTATATCATGCTATCAAAGCAACCATGGCCACTACTCAGCAATCATAACAGCAATAATAACTTACCTACCATTTACTCAAAGTCAGGCAAAGTACCTGGCATTTTACAGCTTCTCTAACCTTTATAACAATTTTGAAAATCAGACTGCATTACAGTTATTTCATAAATGAACAAATGAGGCATAAAGATTTTATACAATCTATTCAAATGGTAAAAACAGAATTTGAACCCAGGTCTAAACTATACCAAAGAAGGCAGTAGCATCCCACTCCAGTACTCTTGCCTGGAAAATCCCATGGACAGAGGAGCCTCGTAGGCTGCAGTCCATGGGGTCGCTGAGAGTCAGGCACAACTAAGCGACTTTACTTTCACTTTTCACTTTCATGCACTGGAGAAGGAAATGGCAACCCACTCCAGTGTTCTTGCCTGGAGAATCCCAGGGACAGAGGAGCCTAGTCAGCTGCCGTCTATGGAGTCGCACAGAGTCGGACACGACTGAAGCGACTTAGCAACAGCAGCAGCTAAACTATACCATTCACCAATGATTCTCATTGAAGAGGATGGGAAATTGTATCACTGATGGAGCTTGGATTTTGAGATGCACACCTACAATATATACCTTTGTAAACTAGAATACGACTATAACAGTAAACAAAATGGCTAAGCTATACTCACTGGATGTATCAACATAAAAACTAAATATTACTCATCACTGAATTTTTTTTATACAAAAGCTTTTGGTTTATTGTTTAACAAACATACACGGGATTCAGTAAAGGTTACTAACTGAATGAGATCTAATGCATAGATTCTCCACTGCTTTGACACACTCAACTTCTAAATGACTTCCAGCTAACTAGTTAGGATTGAACACTTCGTACTTTTTGTTGCTTAGTCGCTCAGTCATGTCCAACTCTTTCGCAACACCATGGACTGGAGCCCGCCAGGCTCCTCTGTCCATGGGATTTCCCAGGCAAGAATACTGGAGTGGGTTGCCATTTCCTTCTCCATCATCCCTGAAGTTTTAATCTAAATCCTTTAACTCAGAACTACAGAAAATGTATTATTGTATTTCACAGCAAATATACTTTAAAAATATCACAGAGAAGTGAAACAGATGGAGAATTTATATATCAAATAAATGAAGAACACTCCTGGAAATTTTAGACACTAAAAAAATAGTCTAGATTCATGTTACAATTACTTTGCAACCCGTAAAAGGGCTGGCATCAGTCTCAAGAAAAACCTATAAAACGACTCTAGCTGTTAACATAATTAAGGAATAAAAAATATGGCCTACAAACTGCAATGATCAACCTTCTAGCAAAGACCTGGCAAACTGAACTATTTGGGAAGGGAAAAAAAGAACACAATGTTTAGTACATATACATCTAGAAGAGTCCTAGGTCAAATCTAGAAGAGTCCTAGGTCAATCCAGCAGACACTGATCCTACTTTTTGCTCCTAGTTCTAAATCATATTTTATAGTTATTTAAAATGTCATCTACTTTGTTATCCTTCAAGGGAGGTTCCATGAGCCAAAGGATCAAAGAGTACCATTCCTCTCCTATTATACCATAACCTCTCTTTACCAGCCAATGAAGTTTCTGTTTTGGAATCATTTCTCCATTAAATATAATAACTAAAGAGAGTATTTTCAAAGGAAAACTTAACCAGGTGGTTGTTTTTTCCACATATCTAGTTACTGAGATACTCAAATAATTTCGATATCCTGATAAAATTATATCTTGTATATATTAAAAAAAGAAAGCATCTTTACTCTGAAAGTACTAATAGCAGAGAATTTTTGTAAGTTTTACATGAAGAAGGTATCCAGTTTCACTTATGAGCATGTATTTGCAAAGGCAAAAAATCAATGATAATTTCTGAAAAGCAAAGGTCAAATTAGCATAAATTAATCCTAAAAACACAAACACTACATTTGAACAAGCTACATTTTTTAATTGAACAGAATAAATAAATATTGAGCCTCAGTACAGATACAGAGAATTAATCGCTCTTGGCTGTTAACTACCTTCAATCTCAACTAAAATAAAAGAAAAATGAAAGTCTTCTAACCATGAACTTGCCAGTTAATTACATCCACACGTATCATGCCTGTCAACCACACTGTTGACATTACCCAAAATTCCACTCTCCAGTCACCTTTCCTCTCTGATGGTCTTGTCCTCACTGCTCCTGAGCCCCTTCTTGGTCCATCTTATCATTAACCACGTTTGCAATGTAAACCCTGGGATCTCTTTTTTATAAGTAACCTTCCCTGTAAACTCAACCTTTTTCACGAACACCCTGTACCCTGTGTCTTCCCTGGAACCTAACTCTCTACCAAGAAAACCACTCACTTTTCTCTTTAGTGAAAACCACTCATTCTCGCACTGCCCGAGTCCCATGGGGTAGTATAAACAATTCCCTTATATCCTCACTGCTCTCCTGGCCTCTTTCTAAAGCTCCTCTTCCATTCAGGCCAACTCATTCAGACATTAGCAGTCAACTAGACATCAAGTAGGGGAGATATCCACTGTGGCTGTTGCATAACAGCTCTCTTTTTGGATGGGATGCCTTCCCCACCCACAAGGAAATAGGCAGCTGAAATTTACTGAGGAAAAATCACAATCTCAGCGCAAAGGATGAGATTTCCCTGCTCCTGTTAAAGACTTATTTCTATCGGCTCATGAACTCCATTTCCTTCAGTCGCCTCGAAATTGCCCTACCATTTCTTCCTCTGTGATTTCAGGCATTTTCAACTTCATTGATTCCACTAGTTCCTTATCCTCAAGTAATAACTATGCTTGAGTTTATTCCACACTAAAAAGCCTTTCCTGAATATGTCTGCATCAAGCAATCACCCTCAGTCTCCCTTTTTGATCATAATTAGACTGCTCAAATAGTGTGCACCAGTGTGTAGAAAAGAGTCAACGCGACAGGACTGCCTGCCAGGCAGGCCTCTGGATGGCATCTGGGAAACGACTTTCACCATTCTCAGTCAACTGATGAGGCTGGGTCATCATGCCTAAACTACCTGTACAGACAATAAAACTTACGCTCAACAAATGCTTTGCTTCTGGGATTCTGGAATACTGATGCATGCGCGGTACATGCTGTCTGCATGACCAACCATAAATAAAAGCCTTAGGCACTGAGACTCTAACAAGCTTCCCTAGACAGCAACCTCACACATACGCTGCTGCATTTCCACTGCTGCGGGAAAAGGGAGCTCTGTGTGACCCCTCGTGGGAAGGAGAGCATAAGGAGGCCTGCACGTGGACGCCTCAAAACTCCTCTTTTTTTCCCTTTTGATCTGGATATTCTTAGTAAATTGCCGCACTAAACCTTAGCTCTGAGAACAGCTGAGGACATGTTGAGTTCTAGCACATTTCCAAAAGCGGGGGCGGTACTGTGGACCCTGAACACACTGTCTCCTTTTTCCCACCTCCCATTAGTTTCTTAGGATCACTAGTCTGACCTGGCTCTGCTGTACCACAAAACAATAATCCGAAGAAAGACACTTCCTATCCTTACTACAGTTGTTCCCTCTGTGACTTTTCATACTGTTAAATCATTCACACAGGGCACTACCTAAAACTCAACTATTACGCATATTTCTTTGTCCTTTTGTGCTACATCCAGAAAACATTTCTTAGCTGGATCCTCCAGTGTGATAATGTCCTCCAGGCTGCTAACTTCAGGCTGCTATCAAACCCACCTCTTGACTTTTTTCTTTATTATTATCATTTCCAAGTTCTCCAACTGGTTCTTCTTCATAATAGCCTGCCGTTATTTTATGGCTTGATGCCCTCTCCTGTCTTCTAAAGAAATGTTCTGTTTGCTGCTTATAAACTATTCCCTCTGGTGTTAGCTAAAAGGAATGAGGTAGTTCTGTATGTAGTAAGAAAAGATATCCAAGTGAGAAAAAAAAAAAAAGTTAACATTAAACACATTTATGTTAACAATGGATGGGGGAGTCAGGTCAAAACTGAATAAATGTATGTAAATGCATTTGCATAGAAATAGTATCTAGCAGTATAATCAAAAAGTAGAGTGGAAGTGGGAATAGAGAGATAACTTTTAACCCTATACACTTCCAAATCTTCACATTTTTATCTTACAGAGAACTGACCTTTACGTCACTTGTGAACACTCTTAAGAGACAGATAACTAGACAGGTAAGTAAAAGGGAAGAAATTCTTTTAAGAAGATAAAAATGCTAGTGGTAGGGTGAAAACTGAAAGATTATTTGTTTCCAAGCTTTCTTTAATGTAAGATATTATTTTTATAAATAAAAAATATTTAACAATTTTAATATTTACTAATTATGATCTGAAAAGAAGAAAAACCTACTAAAGTACATAAGGCTTTAAGAGTTTTCTTTTTCCATGACTCTACCTTTGGATGTATAAATACAAATATTCTTGAAAACCACCATGTCCTCAATGTGAGTCAGAAATCAAACCTAACAGCTCCTCCAAAAACAGAGAAGGGAAGCTTGCTGCTTTCAGCAGTGGCAGACTAGCTTATTTAGACCAATTGTGCAGCCATGAGAAAACCCTACACAACAAGTTAAAAGCACCTGTTTTAAGACATCAGAGAATTATAAAGGTGGTAAGAACCTGAAGCCAAGAACTCAGAAAGAATGGAATTCCAGAGAGATGTGCTAGACAGCTGGCATAATTTTTCTCCTCTAGGGTTTTCCTCTATAGCCACTGTTTCAAAAATAGTAGTTGAGAGGGTAAGAAACTGAACAGAACTTTCAGCATTTCTTACAAGAATGGGAAAACAAAAACTAGAGCACCAGGCCATCAAGGAGGAGAGGTCCTGCTTAATTTTCCAGGCTTTCAGTTAGAATTCCCAGAGGGCCACAATCTAGGAATTCAGTTCAGTCGCTCAGTCGTGTCTGATTCTTTGCCACCCCATGGACTGCAGCACACCAGGCCTCCCTGTCCATCACCAACTCCCAGAGTTTACTCAAACTCATGCCCATCGAGTCGGTGATGCCATCCAGCCATCTCATCCTCTGTCGTCCCCTTCTCCTCCTGCCCCCAATCTCTCCCAGACTCAGGGTCTTTTCCAATGAGTCAACTCTTTGCATGAGGTGGCCAAAGTACTGGAGTTTCAGCTTCAGCATCAGTCCTTCCAGTGAACACCCAGGACTGATCTCCTTTAGGATGGACTGGTTGGATCTCCTTGCAGTCCAAGGGACTTGACAAGACTTACAAGTCCAAGAGTCTCCTCCAACACCACAATTCAAAAGCATCAATTTTTCGGCGCTCAGCTTTCTTCACAGTTCAACTCCCACATCCATACATGACCACTGGAAAAACCACAGCCTTGACCAGACAGACCTTTGTTGGCAAAGTAATGTCTCTTGCTTTTTAATATCCTGTCTAGGTTGGTCATAACTTTCCTTCCAAGGAGTAAGCGTCTTTTAATTTCATGGCTGCAATCACCATCTGCAGTGATTTTGGAACCCAAAAAAATAAAGTCTGACACTGTTTCCACTGTCTCCCCATCTATTTGCCATGAGGTGATGGGACCAGATGCCATGAGCTTAGTTTTCTGAATGTTAAGCTTTAAGCCAACTTTTTCACTCTCCTCTTTCCCTTTCATCAAGAGGTTTTTTTAGTTCCTCTTTGCTTTCTGCCAGAAGGGTGGTGCCATCTGTATATCTGAGGTTATTGATATTTCTCCCGGCAATCTTGATTCCAGCTTGTGCTTCTTCCAGCTCTAGGAATTGGGGTGACCCAAAACCAGACTGACTCTCAAACTAAAGCCCAGTTTTTAACAGTTCAATTCTGGACTGAGTTAAGATTCTCTACTCCTATCTTGTGTAGGAGCAAAAGTAAATCTTCTCTGAAGGAGGTTAACAGGGTACACAGCCGCAAATCATTTCCATAATTTTACATGCATAATGTCTAGCTAGCAGAAATACCCAGGTATGAAGGAAAAAAAAAACAAAAACTACCATTGACTAGAAATCAAAAGGACACAAGGAGAAAACCAAACAAACAAAAAGACCCAGAGGATAGCTGCAAATTAGTTACCTCAGATGGGCTTTCAAATAGGCTTAATAAATTCAAAAACCTAAATGACAAGATGCAGAATCCCAGTAGAGAACTGAAAGTTACTTTAATACTCAAGCTGAAATTCCAGAAGTGAAAGTAAAATAACGGAAATTAAGAACTCAATGGATAAATTTAACAGCAGCACAAAGATAAAATAGAGAATTAAAACACTTGGTCAGAAAAAAATATCCAGACTGAAAAAATGAAACAAAAGGATAGAAAATACTGAAAAGAACATAGACAACATTTTAAGAAATAATACAATATAAAAGGTCTATTGAGTAGAAGGTAAGAAATTATTTAAAATAATATTTGAAGAGATAACGGCCGAGAATATCTAAAACTGATAAAAGAAAAATCCAACCATAGACTCAAGAGTCACTGCAAGTAGAAAGCTGGAAAAATGCAAAGAAAACCACAGTCAGAAACATCACAGCACAACTGCTGAAAATCAAAACCAGAAAGACGTCACCTTCAAGAAGCAACTTCTCAAAAGAAATGAATTATAGAATAATATCTTCAATACGCCAACACAGAAGTCAAGAATCTGGGTTTCTTTTTTTTTTTTTTTCAAGATTAATTTTTTTTTTTAATTTTTATTTTTTATTAGTTGGAGGCTAACTACTTTACAATATTGTAGTAGTCTTTCAAACAACAACTGTTCTTCAAAAAGATGGGGAAAATAAAGGCATTTTCACACAAATGTGAAATGTGTCCCCTCAAAATACATAAAGCAAAATCTAACAGAACTGTGAGGAGAAGTAGGTAAATCCATAATCATCATGAGGAATTTTTAAACACTCCTCTTAGTAACTGACGAAACGAAATAGGAGGAACCAGGTTTGGGTTTGCTTTTATTTTATGTCATTTTTTCCCCTAAAGAAACATGCACTTCTCTGCTAGTTTCCTCTTAGGCCACTGGAGCTCTTTTGCAACAAAAAGGATTTAATGGTACTTAATATTTTTAAATAAATGTCATTTTTAAAACACTTTCTGCTGGCAAAGAAAAATAAATGCTGCAAACAACTCATTTTGTAAAATAGTAACTGTTTAAACTTTTACACTTTTAAATACTAGATCATAATTCAAGAACACATTAAGCATATGCTTCTAATTAATGTTATTCTCAAAAAATTCCATTGAATTCCCTCATAAAAATGATATAAGAGGGTAATCATTTATGTGTTACGCTAGTAGACTTTCTTTAGAATATGATACTTATTTTTCCAGGTATGTGATTCAGTAATTTCAGATATCTAAATCCAGAAAATAAGTTAGACTAAAAAAAATGTTATTTTTGAAATTAGTTTCATGTTTCAAAGCAATTTATATACTTGTTAGTGGTGGTAGAATGTTGAAGTTTGAAACATGTACATATTAACACAATGTTTTCCAAACAAGAAACTTTAAGTCCCAAATAATTATATTTTATGATTTACATTTAAGGCATTTTTCTTCCCTGCCTATGAATCAACGCCTACTAAGAAATGAGTTGTGAGGTTTCCTGCTTACTACTCAAACATGGTATCCCACATATCTGAATGAACTTTATTAACAACTAATTACCACCACACTTTTCCTAACTTTCCCCTCTGACCTACAACATATACTTCTGTATGTACAGTCACAACCAGCATTTTTCTTCTCAACATACATACTATCCCCCCAAGAAAAGAAGGTAACACCTAATGTTTTTTGTTAGGCCCTGTATTTCTAAAAGATTAACAGGAATTGAAGAAATTATTGAGTTTCTTATCAAAGAAATAAGAGCCTTGTGAAATTCTTATTGAAGAAGTAAGAGTCTTCTGAATTTCTTATTGAAGAAATAAGAGTCTTCTGAATTTCTTATTGAAGAAATAACAGTCTTCTGAATTCAACTTTACAGAAAAATATGAAAATGCCACCCATGGAAAGGAGAATTTATGTATCAAGTTATTTTAACTATGGGATAAGTTTATAAAGCACTAGTAAAAATATTCACTTTATATTTAGTTGGAATCTCACAATCTTTTGCAAAGAAACAATAAATTCTCAATCTAACATCTAACAGTTCTTTGGTTTACCTAATAAACAAAAACAGGATAAATTTATATAACTGAAAATTTTTTGTAGAAAAGACAAAGATTCATGGCTATCAAGCATCTTCGTGAGGACAGGAAACTCTCCTCAATGCTTTGTGGTGACCTAGATGGGAACGGACTCTAAAGGGGGGATAGCCGTACATGTATAACTGATTCACTTCGCTGTACGGAGGAAACGAATACAACATTATGAAGCAACTATACTCCAATAAAAATCAACTAAAAAAAAAGTCTTTGGGGGACCTTCCTGGTGGTCCCGTAGTTAAGACTCCACACTCTCACTGCCAAGGGCTCAGGTTCAGTCCTCACTTGGGAACTGAGATCCCACAAGCTACGTGGTGCAGTCAAAAAAGAGTCTTTGGAAATGACAGGAATAAAGAAATCTTACAAATCCAGCAAAACAAACATAGTCAACATTCTATTTGCATAAATCTCAATAAGCCTGTAGAGGAAAAAGGTAGACTATAATAATATCTTTAAACATTACCAATTTTAAACGTTCTTTTCTCCTTTTACCAAAGGAGGCGCTTGACCCAGGTTCTGATTCCTTTTTTCCATCCTCGTCCTCATCTTCATCTTCATCATCCTCAAAACACCAATCTGGCAACAGAGGTGGGGGTGGTGCTTCCTCTATATCACCATAGCGACGAAAAAGTTCTTTCAAGTAATCACCCTTATAAATTCCTGGTGGTCTGGCTTGGGCAAAGGTAGCAACTGCTGCTTCAATACTGTGGGAAATAAATACCATGCGATTTCCTCACTACTCTCCATTTACAAAGATTTACCAAAATCCTCTTACTATACTTACAGCTATCATAGTGAAGCACAACAGAGGTTTCATAAATGGATACATCACAATCCCTACCCTCAAGGCATTCAATCTACTAAGAGACAAATCATTGTGAAACAGTTTTAACACATGGTACATGGTATTTCCTAAACTCTAAAGGTAAACTGTAATGAGTGTAATGAGGAGACCTGGGTGGAGTCTGTAAAGAATTAAAGTAAACCCTTAAAGGTTTAAACAGAAACTGGTGTTTACTGAAAACACCAGTCAAGGAAAAGCAATGTGAAAATGAAGTAAAAGCATGATGGTTTTTCAGGAACTTTCAACAGACCCAAGCGTTAAGAGCACAGGTCATCACAGCGAGGCTAAGCATAGGCTGAGTCTGACCTAGCAGTCGACATAGTGTAGTTACCTTTTAGAGATCTGAAAGGGCAGAAAGGCAGAGGCAGAATGTATGCAGTAGAGAACCACAGAGGATGAGTGAACAGGAAAACATACAATCACATGTCTACTTCAGGTGACTATATTCAGAGAAGGACCTACTGCATGAAAGGCTTTGTAAACAAAAGACCTTTAAAGTAAATGAGGAAATTCAGTAATATCTCATTCTCTAATCTCTCAGAATCTAAAAAGACACTTTACAAGTTAACAGGTACTCATAAAGACCTGCTGATTGGCTTAAACAGAGTAACTCAGTCCCCAAAAATACTTTCATATTTAAGACTATTATACAAAGCATAACAGAAGTTTTATAAAATGGACACACCACAGTCCCTACTCTCAAGGCATTCAATCTACTAAGAGACAAACCATTCTGAAACAGTTTTAACATAAGGTACCTAGTATTTATGGTATTTAAGCTTTTTCTAATACTCAGCAGCTATTTTTTTAAAAGGTACTTAAAAATGAAAAGAAAAACAACAGTAGTAACCTCCAAGGTGAAAACATACACAAAATGTGGGGAGAACTTGTCTCTGACAATTCTGTAAGATGTGAAAAAAAAATCTAGGAAAGAAAATGTATAGTATTTGGGATCCATAAGCACTCAACATGCTACTTTGTAGAAAACATCAGTAATGAATGGTATTCTAAAGATTAACCAAATCTAAAATAAAAACCACTGAAATCATGTTAATCATGACTTCACCAAAAGACCTGGAAATATAAAATGCTAAAACTAAAAAAAAAGAAAATCAATAAAATTTTTATCAACTACTAAATATGTCTTCTTTCACTACAACAAGAAACAAATACCTCCAATCCATTTTCTCCACCAAGAAGGCACATATGAGGAAACCAGTGCGATTGAAACCATGGGTACAATGAACACCTAGGAAAAAAAGCAGTTTTCATTTAAAATTACAAATCACTAAAAAATAAATAAATAAATGAAATTACAAATCACTTCAGAGGCCACATTTCACTTTAAAATTCCAACCTGCAAACAAAACATTTCAATCATTTTATAAAATAACCACATTTTTAAAACTTAGCCCTCTCTTATAACTATTAAACCTGTCAGCTTAAATTGCTTGGGATATAGCTTATAGCACTAACTAAAAGTTTAAATATAACATATTGATCTATTAATTACAACTATTTCGAAGGTCTGAAGTTTTATTTCAAAACTAAAAGGCCCAAGCATTTTAAATAAGGAGAGATTTCATCAAAGACACAACTCTAAAAGACACACACAGACACCCACACAGGACATGACTGGATACAGAAACTGATGAACATACAGTACAGTAAAAACAAAACTACTTTACAGTTCTCTAGGAACCAACTGCCTGTATCTTTACATTAGCCTATCATCTTTCAAAACAGACTTTCAAAAGGAAAAACTGCTTAGAAAAAGAAATTTATTTTCAGGACATATTATAGGGAAGTATGGTCCTATCTTTATAATATGCAAAGCTACAAATAAGCTTCATAGCGTCCAAAAATGATTACATTCTCAAATTATTTTAACTACTTTGAAAATGTAATAAAAACGACTTGGTGTACATACTAAATTATCATGTTTTAGAAAATCCACTTCAATGGCAGTTCAACATAAAATAGAGAAGAAGCATCAATGAAGCAAGAAAACTAGTAAGGAAGTCATCCTACTAATCTCTATGCGAGATTAGGGTTTGACTGACAAGGGTCCTGGTGATGGGAATAACACGGAGAGGCAGATGGAAGAAACATTTAAGGCAGAATCTGCAATCGGAGGGATGAATTACTGTCAACACTGATAGAAAAGATGTAGGAGGAGTCTTCGGTTCTGACTTGGATGACTAATTAGGCAGCGGTACCACCCACCAAGTTACGGAATACAGGAGTTTCTATCAGTCTACTTGGCAACACAATGAGTGCAACTGGACGTGCAGTCAACACAGTGAGCACACTTGGACATGCAGACTTTAAGGCTCTTAACAGGAAGCCCCCTGGTGACCCAGTGGTTAGGATTCAGCACTTTCACGGCCGAGACGTGCCTTCAATTCCTGGTCAGGGAGCCATCCCTATGCCCAGTGGTATGGCCAAAATACAAGAAAAAAACGGGGGGGGGGGGGGGGTGTTTTCTTACGAGACGCAAAAATATTTGGAAATAGGGTAAATAGCTTCACAGAGAGGTCTAGCTGGAGTTGTGGATTCAAGAATGATCAGCATATAGTCAACTACAGAAGGTGTCTGTGGCATGAATAAAATCACTAAAAATGGGTAGAACAAGAGAACATAAAGATGGAATCTGAGGAAAACTAACCTTTCAAGAATAAGCTGAGGGGGTGGGAAGGCATAAAAAAAGACTGAAAATGAAGTTTAATGAGGTCAAGAAAATAAAAAGAACATGAACATAGGGTCATGTTTACCAGGCAAAGAGGAAGTCCCAAGAACTGTTTAAATGTCACATAAAGATTAGAACTGAAAGTCGCTATTTGTTTAGGGGGAGGACTCCAGATTGCAATGAGGTGAATAGGAATAAATGGATTTGAGTATCAATCTTTTGGAAAGTGTGCTGGGAAGGGGAAGGGGACATATAAAACAGCAAGAAAAGGTTTTGGGGGGCAGAATAATATTTTAATATAAGAGGCTTAAATACATTTATAGGCTGAGAAGGATCTGGTTAATTTACAGAGGTTGAAAGTAATAGAGAACAATGATATAACTGAAATGAAGTTTCCTAAGAGATTTTAAAAAATAATAAAGAAATCAGCCTTGAACAAAAGAGACACTCCTTAGAAATTAAGGGGCTATAATCATGAAACTATATAAATTCATCATCTCCAGTGCTCTGTAAGAAAAGGTGTCTCAAAAATTATGCAAAGATGTCAGTTTATATAAACAGACCTTTTTATTCAACATGTATCAACACAACGTGTAAACTTCCTTTCTACTTTATACTTGAGACCAATTTAAGCAGCAAATACTCGAATTTTTGGAGGAGGAAATAGCAACTCACTCCAGTATTCTTGCCTGGGAAATCCCAACAACAGAGGAGCCTAGCAGGTTACAGTCCATTACAGTCCATTGAGTCAGACACGACTTAGAGACTAAGTAACAACACTCTAACTTTAGACATGTCTCTCATCTACAGGACTACTGCTTTTGCATCTAAAGAGCAAATGTTTTTACGAATAACGTATGTAAGAATAACTGCAATTAAGTGACTAAGTCACATGATGAGACACAACTGAAGTGCCAGTGGTCCTTTAATGTTACCTGTTAAATAAGTGCTTAATGCTTTACCTTATGGTTACACTTCAAAGCATTAATAAATGACTAGATTGTTAAAGTAAGAAACATAAAAACCTTCAACAAAACAAATCTCTATAGAAAAATATGGAAGATTATGTATCTGATTTTTTTTTTTAAATTTCATTAAATAGGTATACTACAAGCCTAACCTCCTTTGTCTTCAATGTTTGGGGGGTGGGGAGGGGAAGCGTTTGGGTTTTTTTTTTTCCGTTTTCCTCTGTTCATTATGAGAATGGGTCCATCTAGTGGCAAGGAAAGCACAGTTTATTAGTTAGTAAAGATTAGGTCTTGATTAACTATTTCAAGTCACTTCTTATTCAAATTTGTCATCATTTTTATTCTAAGCTAATACAAGGAAATAAACTTATACAGAATCTCAAAAAATACTAACATCAATATATATTAAGGAAAAATGATAAGTCTTTTAAAATCTCAAATCAAGAAAGGAAAACAATCTCCCCAAGGAAAAAAGAGAAACTTGAGCTCTAACTATAGAAACACACATACTGAAATCACTCTAAGTATAAATTAGGAAGAGGTGCCTTATACAGAGCTGGTGACAACATGGCTTTCTAAATACTGCCTGATCTCAAGATACACAGCTTCCTTTCTACCTCCCTAGTCAGATAACTGAATTTCAGTATCAAAAGCGTTACCTGCTGAGTCTAAATAAACGATTCCCGCCTGGGGGTGATTTTACCCACCCCCTCCCCAGAGGACGCGTGGCAGCGTCAGAGACTCTCTGCTGCGTTCCGGCTGTGCCGGGTCTTCGATGCTATGCCAACTGTTCTCCACCTGCAGCAGGGGCTGCTCTCTAGCTGCAGTGCTCAAGCTCCTCACGGCAGGGGCTGCTCTGGCGGGGGACGTGGGCACACAGGCTTCAGCGGCTGCGGCATGCGGGCTCAGCGCTTGCAGCCCCCTGGCTTTAGAGCACAGGTTCAGCAGCTGCGGCACGCGAGCTTAGCCGCTAGGTGGGGTGCGGGATCTTTCCGGAACAGGGATCACATCTGTCTCTCCTGCATGCCAGGCAGATTCTTCACCACGCAGTCACCGGGAAAGTCCCAGGAGACATTTAATAACTGTCACGACTGGTGGGGGGACACTGACAGCTCGAGGGCAGAGGCCAGAAAGGCTGCTAAACATCCTCCAGAGCACAGGAGAGGCCCCCAAAACAAAGGATGACCCCACTCAACATGTCAACAGTGTTCAGGTTGACACACCCCTGGTCTAAAGGAGCAAAAAAAAAAAAAGAACAGCAAGAGGAAACTATTAATTATTAAGAACTTATTACATGCCAAGTGATCTTAAAATATTTTTATTTAATAAAGAGGAATTTTTTTACCAAAATTTACATGCGCTACTCATAAAAATATATACTCGAAAATTTGACCTAAAATAATTAGAGGCATTAGTTAAGTTATATATCCATTAGTCTACCATTTACCAAGAAATGAGTTATTTCTCTTTTACCAAAAAACAGACTTCTTTATTTCTCCAGCCCACGAAATTCTTATCCTCAATTTTCAGCACATGCAAACAAATGCACTATAGCTCCATACATAATCTCTTATTTGTAATTACAATTTTTTAAAAAATCTTAAAAATTAAGATTTGGGGTAGATCATTTCGGGACAAAACCTGACCTGAGCTGATGTGATGCTATTTATAGTCTATTTTTCTCACTTAGTGTGAATGAATATTCATTTATTTAACTGCAGAAATGTTCATGTGTTTAATTATAGAATGCTCTCTGTACCTAGATTATTTCTAAATACTATTTTCCTGAAACTGCAGAAATGTTCATGTGTTTAATTATAGAATGCTCTCTGTACCTAGATTATTTCTAAATACTATTTTCCACTTAAAGGAACCAAGTTCCTTAGAGGAATAACTGATCCCATGTCTGGAAAACATGTTATACCAGAAAACAACAAAACTATCAAAGACTGATGGGATGCTATCAAAAAGATACAGAAATCAACTTGAAGGGGTGCCCACTGGCCTAGGATAAAGCAATTTGGGCATAAGAATAAATATTGGCTATAACTGATTTAAATATATCAACTACACAAAAATTAATCAGTTCAAACAGATACTCCAAAAAGAAAAAATAAGATTAATCAGTCACCACTGGATATTGGTTAAGATACCAATACATTATTCAGGAAATTGAGAAATAAAACAATCAGAAACTTAACTTGCTTTCCAGTACAAACTGCATTTCAGGATAATCAAATTGTTGAGAAGGAATAGTTCTTTGCTAAAGAGGAATTCTAGCTAATCCATGAAGAAATTAGCCAAACAGAAAAATCATTGTTTCGCAACTCTTAATGAAATACTGGAAGAAGCTAACAGTCATCAATAGATTTTAAAAAATTAGGTAAAAGACAGATGAAACAGTCTGTAACAGAGGAAACAACATGCCACCACCCATACCTACTTACTCATCTTTGTACCCTAGAAGCAGGTCCACCAGATACTGTGTGCTAACTGATGCAGTGTAACAGGGAACATACACCAACTCTGAAGTATTCCTGCTTAAAACATGTAATTACGCCTCTCGTTTTAACTACCAGTCTACAAGACAAAAGCCTTCGACTGTGTGGATCACAATAAACTGTGGAAAATTCTGAAAGAGATGGGAATACCAGACCTCCTGACCTGCCTCTTGAGAAACCTATATGCAGGTCAGGAAGCAACAGTTAGAACCGGACATGGAACAACAGACTGGTTCCAAATAGGAAAAGGAGTACGTCAAGGCTGTATATTGTCACCCTNACTGGAAGGACTGATGCTGAAGCTGAAATTCCAATACTTTGGCCACCTGATGTGAAGAGCTGACTCCTTTGAAAAGACCCTGATGCTGGGAAAGATTGAAGGCAGGAGGAGAAGGGGACGACAGAGGATGAGATGGCTGGATGGCATCACCGACTCTATGCACATGGGTTTGGGTGGACTCCAGGAGCTGGTGATGGACAGGGAAGCCTGGCGTGCTGCGGTTCATGAGGTCGCAAAGAGTTGGACACAACTAAGTGGCTGAACTGAACTGAACTTACAAGACAAACAGGGGACAAAGGAAAAAGTAAAATACCATGAGGAGGCATTCGGGTAAATCCAGATAATGGAACATTTTATAGGACAAAGACCTGGTTTCTCCAACAAAGTGATAGCATTTAAAAAAGAGAGAGTCATATTTGGATATATTTGCATATTTGCAATATTTGGATACTGTTGGATCCTTGTTTGAAAAATCTAACTTTAAAGGGGGTTTTTTTAGATTATTGAGGAAATCTAAAAGTGGACTAAGCATCAGATGACATTAAGGAATTTCACATTATTCTGTTTGGTATAATTGCATGGTGGTTATAAAAAAACAAAATTCTTCTCAGTTAGAGATGCATAGTGAAACACTTTTAGGGAAATGACATGATATCTGTGGTTTGCTTTAAAACTCAGAAAAAAATCTGTTAGGAGGAGGAGAGGAAAAACGAGGAAAAAAAATCAGTAAAATGATAATTACTGAAGCTGAATGATGGATACATAAGATGTCATTTTACTGTTCTCCCTACTTTTGGTATGGTTGAAAATTTCCACTATGAAGAAAAATTAGGGGGTACTTCCCCCCACGGATTATGGGATTATGAAGCTGTAGTTCTTGGGCAGGTCAGTGGTAAAGACTCTGCCTGCCAAGGCAGGAGACACAAGTTTGATCCCTGGGTCAGGAAGATTCCCTGGAGAAGAACACGGCAACCCACGCCAGTATTCTTGCCTGGGAAATTCCATGGACAAAAGGAGCCTGGCAGGACACAGTCCTCTGGGGGCGCAGAAGAGTTAGACCAGGCTCAGCGATTAGAAAACGTCTGAAGCTTCTGTGTGTTTCAAGAACTCTGTATCTCCACTAAGTCTACAGTATCATCCCGCAACTAGGCTAACTGCATGGACTGACAGTCACATCAGTTCATTTAAAGATATTTTTTAAAAAATCAGACTAATTTTGAAAACAAATGTGTCTCACTTTTGCCAGGCGGTCAATGTCCCCTGGAGGTCACCAGTATGCTTCACAAGGAATGTGTGCAAGGCTGACGAAAATTACATCTCAAAAACACAATTAAAACATTGAAAAAGCAGGCCAATGTTTTCTGATCCTAAGAACACAGACTTGATTCTTTATGCCTTTTGTTTGAGAAGATGATATGAGCAACCATCTCTAAGACCAATTTCTGTTACTCTCTTCTCAATTACGACAATAAATAATTGCCACCCCAACCTGTGCTCAGAACAGGGCAGACCCAAAGCAAAAGTTTCCACATCAATCCACATGAACAGAATCACTGTCCAGTGATACAAAACAAATAATATATAATAACCAATAATATATTGTCACAATTATAATTTTAATAACCCATAAAATACTCAATATCGAAATTTTTCCCATAAAATACTCAATATAGAAAATTTTCCCATCAGTTCTTCCAAGAAATATTGTTTTTCAGTCACTAAGTCATGTCTGACTCTTTGCAATCCCATGGACTGCAGCACACCAGACTTCCCTGTCCTTCACTCTCTCACAGAGTTTGCTCAAACTCATGTCCACTGAGTCAGTGATGCCATCCAACCATCTCATCCTCTGTCGTCCCCTTCTCCTCCTGCCCTCAGTCTTTCCCAGGATCAGGGTCTTTTCCAATGAGTTGTCTCTTTGCATCAGGTGGCCAAAGTATTAGAGCTTCAGCTTCAACATCAGCCCTTCCAATGAATATTCAGAATTGATTTCCTTTTGGATTGACTGGTTTAATCTCCTTGCAGTCCAAGGGACTCTCAAGAGTTTTCTCCAGCACCACAGTTCAAAAATATCAATTCTTCAGCGCTGAGCCTTCTTTATAGTCCAACTCTCATATCTGTACATGACCACTGGAAAAACCATAGCTTTGACTATGCAGATCTTTGTCGGCAAAGTGATGTCTCTGCTTCTCAATACACTGTCTAGGTTTGTCATAGCTTTTCTTTCAAGGAGCAAACATGTTTTAATTTCAACACTACAGTCACCATCCACAGTGATTTTGGAGCCCAAAAAAATTAAGTCTGTCACTGTTTCCATTGTTTCCCCATCTATTTGCCATGAAGTGATGGGACTGGATGCCATGATCTTAGTTTTCTGAATGTTGAGATTTAAGCCAACTTCTTCACTCTCCTCTTGCACTTTCATCAAGAGGCCCTTTAGCTCCTCTTCGTTTTCTGCCATTAGAGCAGTATCATCTGCATATCTGAGATTGTTGATATTTCTCCCAGCAATCTTGATTCCAGCTTGTGATTCACTCAGCCCAACATTTCTCATGATTCACCCTGCATATAAGTTAAATAAGCAGGGTGACAATACACAGCCTTGACGTACTCCTTTCCCAATTTGGAACCAGTCTGTTGTTCCATGTCCAGTTCTAACTGTTGCTTCTTGACCTGCACACAGGTTTCTCAGCAGGCAGGTAAGGTAGTCTGGTGTTCCCATCTCTAAGAATTTTCCAGAGTTTGCTGTGATTCACACAGTCAAAGGTTTTAATATAGTCAATGAAGCAGAAATAGATGTTTTTCTGGAATTCCCTTGCTTTTCCTATGATCCAAAGGATGTTGCAATTTGATCTCTGGTTCTTCTGCCTTTTCTAAATACAGCTTGAACAACTAGGTTGAAAGATTTTTACCTTCAGCAGTTTACCTTGAGCAGTTTTACCTTGTGAGCGTGTAAAAGTACTGCAACTGTACAGTAGTTTGAGCATTCTTTGGCACTGCCTTTCTTTGGGATTGGAATGAAAACTGACCTTTCCAATCCTGTGGCCATTGCCAAGTTTCCTAAATTTGCTGGCATACTGAGTGCAGCACTTTAACAGCATCATCTTTTAGGATTTTAAATGGTTCAGCTGGAATTCCATCACCTGCATTAGCCAGTTTGTAGTAATGCTTCCTAAGGACCCTCCAACAATACAATTGGTCAATTTATCAATTTGAGAGTATTAATGTTTCTGAAATCATGACACCTGATGCCAGACATTAAGTCTTCCTGAATTCTTCAAGTACATTTAGCATTTACCCCTATAATGGTTTATCTCAAATGAAAAAAGTTTTTAATTGTTCCAATAAATGTTCAGTATGTTCAAATGTTCAATGCTACTTCAGGCTGTGTATCTTCTACCTGTATCCTAAATACATGTATACCAGTTACATATATTCATGTGAATGTGTAAATATAAACACATATACACACCGTAATACTATGTCATATAGTCCCATACTATTGTTCTTCTATTAGATAAGCCACATACTGTATCATATAAATTATCTGCTTCCATCAGATATGTAAGCTATTTCCAGGGTTTTCTTATTATAAAGGAAGATATGATAAAATTTCTTTCACCTAAATCTTTACGTGCATCTATGACTACTTCCTTTAAATAAATTGTTAGATATGCCCCTGATGAGTCAAAGTATATGAACACTTTTAAAGATCTTTAGAAATCACCAAAATGGCCCTCCAGAGAGGCTATATCAATTAACACCTTAATTAACAATGTATGAGTACATCCATTTTATCCAATCCTTGACATTATGATTTTTTAAACATTTATGAATTTGATGGCGGAAGGTAACAACATGTATTTCAATTTGTGTGTCTTGTTAACAAGGGAGAGTGACACTTTTTTCATGTTTCTTGGCTATCTGTACTGCATTTTCATTGTTTTCCATATTTTTCTATGGATGAAGGCCTCTTTGGCCTGAAGAATTATAGAACCTTTTCATAAGAATATTCATTTTTTTATCATATATGCCTCAAATATTGCTCTCAACTTGTCAAATGGCATTTTGCTTTGTTTTGGTTATTTTATAACACAGGAATTTTTTTCACTTTTACGTGGTCAATCTAGACATCAGTGTTACACGTAATTAGAGATTTGGACCTTGGTTCAGAAACTGATTACAAACTTGGCTTAAACAGTTTATTAGACACGTGAACAAGGAAAAACTACTTAATTTCTCTGAGATTCAGTTTTCCTATTTGTAAAATAGGGATACAGCCACCTACCACAGGGAGTTGTTATGAGGATTACAATCATTCACTCCTTCATTCATTCATTTATAGTTTCCCACCAAGTCTGCCAGGCAAGTAACAAGCATTCATTAATCCCAGTCACTACCACAATCTTATCACGAATAGACAACATTTTAATTTTTAATACCAGTTCCCAATAGACTATTACTTTAATAAACACTTCTTGGCAATTACTTTAAAAAGAAAAAAGAAAATTCCATATCAACCCATTTGGAAAAAGAGAACAGAAACCCAATCACAAAATAAGATATTCAACAGTGGCTAAAGTAAAGCCAAACATACCAATAAGTTCAGGTGGGTTTCTTTCATTAAACCGCTCACACAGACGAATAAACGTCTCAGTATTCTCTGTTGTAGGGCACTCGCCATGTCTAGTAATACAGAAACATTTTGTTTTTAAGAAGAGATGACAAATTTCAGCAAAAGGTTTCAATATTAAAGACTCTTAATACATGACTTACCCTTTACACTGAAGTTTTATATATTTGATTCCTTCTTTTTCTATGTCATTTCTGTCATAGAATCTTGAAGTATTTGTCAGGTCTACCAACAAGCCCATTTTAACCTTAGGCAAAAGGAAAGAAGATTTCCTAGTTATTGAATCTGTTCCAAAATAAGTTGACTGAATGGCAATATTCTAGGCCAGTTCATTCATCTACACTGAAGGAGATTTTATGTTCACTCTGTCAACATATTAACAACGAGTGTACCATTTATCCAAGTCTTATTTGAGACACGGAGCTTAGGCATTGAATGAAATAAATTAACCCCAAACAAATCATGAAACAAGAATATAAGCAAAACAGATTCCACTTCAACATTAAAAAGCCTACCTAAAAAGCAAATACTGATGTAGTTTCCTACATCTGTCACTCCACCTATGATTTATTAGAAGTAGCTAGAACAGGGACAGCATTTATCTGAAATACACCCAAACTCAAGCTCCAGAAGCACCCAAGAATTGATGCTTTTGAACTGTGGTGTTGGAGAAGACTCTTGAGAGTCCCTTAGACTACAAGGAGATCCAACCAGTCCATCCTAAAGGAAATCAGTCCTGAGTACTCATTGGAAGGACTGATGCTGAAGCTAAAAAACGACAAAAGAGTGTCCCTGGGTTTCGGGATTAGGAAATTTCCAGAGGCCAGAAAGAATTACACTAAGAGTAGTCAATTTGCTGAATTATATGCAGTATATGAAGCTCCAAAACAAAGAAAGTTAACAGAATGTCATTCTCACAGAACATTAACATAACAAGACTCCTGGTTGGGAGCCAATGGATTAGCCACCAGTTTGACTTTGTGGGCACACCAAAAATGTGGCAACGTGGGAGAAAAAGCAACATCCAGGTGGGCTCAAAATCTAGGTATTTCCTTTACTATGGATCTCATTAAATATTTTACAACGTCCAATTTACAATATATTGAACACAGACGCTTACCACAGCTAGTCAAAGGACAATTGGCATGTGGCAAGCTGCCTGGGCAAATATGGCAAATGATTATACTGATCCATTAATCTGAGATGAAGGATGTCAATACGTGGGCACCTTATCGATGGGCATTTGTCTGAGTAAACTCCGGGAGTCTGTGATGGACAGGGAGGCCTGGCGTGCTGCGGTTCATGGGGTCGCAAAGAGTCGGACACGACTGAGCGGCTGACCCGAACTGAGCTGCTTGCTGCTATGGACACCTATTCTGGATGTTTAGTGGCCACTCCCTTCAGGAAAGCCAATCAGACCAATACTATCAAAACAGAGGCGATAATTAATTTATATTATGGTGTTCCACTTCAAATTCAGAGGGACAATGGATCACATTTTAAAGGTAAGTTAATACAAGAGTTTGCCCAGGAATATAATACACAATAGATCTTTCATATTCCTTATTATCCTCAAGCTGCTGGTTGGATTGAAAGAATGAATGGTTTGCTTAAACAGCAGTTAATTAAACTTGGAGAGGGCTCTTATGAAAACTGGAGAACTAACTTTAAATACTCCTCTCAATATTTTAAATAATATACCTATTAGAAAATCAGAAACTCCTTTGATGAGAAAAACTATTCCAAATTTACAGATTCATAAAATAGACTTCTATCCTGAAACAACTGAGTATTGGGAAATTAGCCCAGGAGCACTAGCTCTTTTCCAAGCTACTCCTGAGACTGCCGGAGTGGATTTGTACTCTTTATCTGAACAGAGACTTACAAAAATATTGATATGTGCTATTTCAACTGGTATTGGAATCAAAATGCCTCCCAGGCACTTTGGGTTAATTAAGGAATGCTCCAATTAAGCGTTAAAAGCAATCTGCATCCATGCAGGAGTTACAGACCCAGACTACCAAAGAGAAATCCAAGTAACTTTACAAAATGAAGCAAAGGATGAAAGGATGATCTATTTATTAATAAACATGATAGAACTGCCCGACTCCTGATTTTCCCACATGTGAAGTACAAAATGAGGATAACCTCCCACCTTACTAACAGTTAGAGATGATGGAGGGTTTGGGTACACAAATGAAATACATGCAACCAGAGCTAAAGGCTGGGCGAAGCAACCTAATGATCCTCCTGTATTTGCTGACGTGGCTGCACAAGAGAAGGCGCACACCCTACTAAGTGACGACCCCGGGCAAGAATGGCAGCATGCGCTGTTAACCATTGCTGTGCTTATGGACAGACTATTCTTGGAAGCCTGACTGTAACGTGGATTCTCACCCACACCTCCACCTTCAAGGATATGCTACAATTAAAAGAAAAATATGAAGAAAACTATTGGGGAATCTTCAGCTAGAGAAACATAAGCCAGACCTGAACTCAGGATAACTTCATGTGCCCAGCAGACAAGGCCTTTTCTTTCTTAACTTTGCCTTTCTGTGTACAAAAGATTATACACAGCACTGGTAAGGATACAGCTCAAGTCTTAACCATTAACACTAAATGGATGCTTGCAACACTAAAGCCACATGAACTTAATGTATGACAAAGACTTTTAATGGTTTAATGACTCGGTAATATTTCAGCTGCTGTTGTTTAGTCACTAAGTCATGTCCGACCCCATGGATTGTAGCCTGCCAGCTCTTCTGTCCATGGGATTTCCCAGGCAAGAATAAAGTGTGTTGCCATTTCCTTCCCCAGGGGATCTTTCTGACTCAGCGATCTTCCCCACCCAGGGACTGCCTGCATTGGCAGGCAGATTCTTTACCACTAAGCCACCAGGGAAATTCAACATTTCAGTTACACCGAACTAAATCCTAAACCGACATGTGTGATTGGACTGTTTGTTCTAAACAGCTGTTATATTACCTTGCTCAGAAGGATGAGGTCCAAGGAATTTTAGTGTCTGCTAATGCATATGCTAAAGACTCTCTTGGTAAGGGTGAAGGAGATGGAAAAAGCCGGCTGAAAACTAAATATTAAAAAACTAAGCTCATGGCATCCAGACCCATTACTTCATGGCAAACAGAAAGGGAAAAGGTGGAAGCATTGCTTCTAGGTGGGAGCCTGCCAAACACAAAGACGTGAATGCCGTAATACAGCTTCTCACAAGTTAGAGCTAGAACCCTTACCGTCTGTCTCTAGGTCCAAAGTAAGAAGGGAAGGAAAAGTGGGCATGAGCAAGACAATATGAATTCTCTAAATATATATATGAATACTTTAGCTAAGAAAACCAAGAAACTGTATTATGTGACTTAGTGCACTGAGTCCATATATATGTACATGTGTAAATGTGTGTCCGTGTGTGTGATATGTCTGTGTGAATAACGTGTTTGTGTTTTTTAATCTATATACACATATACTCACATTATATATAATCATTTTTCCTTGTAGATTCCCAATCCATGAAATAAGGATAATAACAGTATCCACCTCATACAGTTGTTGTGAGACTTAAATGAAGTCCTTACTCTGTGCCAAGCACTATTCTATGTTTTACATGCACTAATTTTATCTGCAAATGAGGAAACTGAAACACGAACAGATTATGTAACTTGACCACAAAGCTGTAAGTGGCAAACTAGAATTCAAACCCAGGCTAACTAGCTCCTAAGCTCTTTAAACGCTCTGCCTAGGAATATTTAATGCTCTACAAATGTTAACTATGACTTTCAAAAATGTATATTAATAATGAAGATAAAAACTAAAAGTTTATAAGGAAGCTAAAATAAAAGATACAAAATGAAGACCCAAACTACACCAACAGGGATAAGTAACAGGTTATCAAAAACTACGTGGCATGTTTACCGTCCTGTAACAGGAAACTCGCACGTAATGGGCACCAGCCTTTGCTGAATGTACTACCTGCTGTTCAGTCGCTATGTCGTGTCCAACTCTTTGCAACCCCATGGACTGCAGCACGCCTCTCCTTCCTGTCCTTCACCATCTCTCAGAGCTTGCTCAAACTCATGTCCATTGAGTCCATGATGCCATCCAACCATCTCATCCTCTGTCATCCCCTTCTCCTCCTGCCCTCAATCTTTCCCAGCAGCAGGGTCTTTTCCAATGAGTCAGCTCTTCTCATTAGATGGCCAAAATATTGGAGCTTCAGCTTCAGCATCAGTCCTTCCAATGAATATTCAGGATTGATTTTCTTTAGGATTGACTGGTTTAATCTCAAAGCAGTCCAAGGGACTCTCAAGAGTCTTCTCCAGCACCACAGTTCAAAAGCATCAATTCTTCAGCGCTCAGTCTTCTTTATGGTCCAGCTCTCACATCCACACAAGACTAATGGCTTTCACTATATGAACCTTTGGTGGCAAACTGATGTCTCTGCTTTCTTGTACACTGTCTAGGTTTGTCGTAACTATTCTTCCAAGGAGCATTCAATAACAGACTACCACTTAAAAGAGTAACAATGGTACGTGTTATGGGTTGCATTATGCCCCCTAAAAACATATTCAAGTCCTAACTCCCAGTACCTATGAATATAACCTTATTTGAAAGAAGGTTATAGGGTCTTTGCAAATATAGTCAAGACAAGGGCACACAGGGGAATTCCCTGGCAATTCAGTGGTTAGGACTCCAACTTCCACTACAGGTTCAATCCCTGGTCATGAAACTAAGATCCTGCAAGTCACATGGTGTGGCCAAAAAAAATTAATTAAATGAGGTCATACTGGATTAGGGTGTCCTTATTAGTGGGAAATTTGGACGCTGACACACACAAGGAGAGTGTCAAGGAGGCAGAGACAGCTAGAGGAGCCTTAAGCCTAGGAATACTGAGGCCTGCTGGCCATCACTGGCAGCTAGGAGAAAAGAATGGAAGAGATTCTCCTCCAACACTCCAGGAAGAGCCAACCTCTCCAACACCCTGCTGGGGAATTTCTAGCCTCCAGAACTGATAGAGGATAAGTGTCTGCCGTTTTAAGCCACCAGTTTCTGGTCATTTGTCAAAGCAGCCCCACTGCTGGGGTGTTAGCCGCTCAGTCCTGTCTGACTCTCGGCAATCCCATGTACTGCAGCCCACCAGGTTCCTCTGTCCATGAAATTTTCCAGGCAAGAATACTAGTGTTGCTTGTCATTCCCTTCTCCAGGGGATCTTCCTGACCCAGTGATCAAACCCAGGTCTCCTGAATTGCAGGCAGATTCTTTACCATCTGAGCCACCAGGGAAGCCCAGAAACTAATATAATCAATGTGATGTCAGAATAACAAACAATTGCAACGTTTCGTTCAGAAAAATAGTTTGGCACTTTTCTTTAAAACTAACCACGTGTTCAACAATCTTAGTCTTGGGTATTTGTTCCAGAAAAATGAAAACTTAACATTCACATAAATACCTGTACATAAACCTTCACAGCAACTTGATTCACAATTCCCCACAACTGGAAACAACTCAAAGTGGCTAAATGGTTACTTAACCATTCAGTGGGAGGAGAATGGTTAAACTCTGGCACATCTACACAAGTGAATACTATTCAGCAATAAATATGAGCACAATTTTCATCGATTCATGCAAAAACCTGGAGGACCCCAGCAGCATTATGCTTAGTGAAAAAAGTGTATCCCGGGGGCTCCCTTGGTGGCTCAGTGGTAAAGAATCCACCTGCCAACGCAGGAGACGTGGCTTCGATGCCCCATGCTGCAAGCAACTAAGCCCGTGAGCAACAACAACTGAGCCTGTGCTCCAGAACCTAGCAACCGCAACTGCGGAAGCCCACGTGCCCGGCGCACAGCAAGAGAAGCCATCGCGGGGAGAGGCCTCCAGACCGCCACAGAGAGCAGCCTCCACTCCCTGCAACTAGAGAAGGCTTGAGAGCAGCAAGGAAGACCCAGCACAGCCAAAAACGAATTTAGAACATTTTCTTTAAAGTGTATCCTGAAAGGTCACAAACTGTTTCATTCCATTTATGTAACATTCACAAAATGACAAACTACAGAGAGAGAGAACAAGTTAGCAGGCCGAACCGCACAGAACTTGACGCACATAAACACAAACGAGTGCTCATAAACACGGGAAACACTAAGGTGTGGGTCTACAATCCAGCCAACAATGCTCTGCCAAGGTCAATTTCCTGCTTCTGATATTATACTACAATCACATAACATGTCACCATTGGGAAAAACTGAGAGAAGGGTTCATAGACTCTATGTACAATTTTTGCAACTTGCTCTGAGTTAATTATTTCAAAGTAAAAAGTTTTATTTTAGAAAGCCACCTGAAAAACAAGGAAGGGATAAAGTATGTTGAATCAACATCAAAAATGTTTTGCCTCTTACCTTCAGACTCTTCAGATAATTTGAAAGCATACTGGGATGGAATCGATTTTCTTCAGCAACTTGACTGTCATATCTTGGTCCTAACATTGTTTTCAGAGGTAAGAATCTTCCTAAATAACACGAAGGTAAGAATTTTCATTAAGGAAAATGTTCTGGGTTAAAACTCTATAATTAACAATTCTCAAAATCACCTTCTTACAATATTTTTAATGGAACTGTTCATAAAATACTCTCAACCTATACTATACTTTCAAAGGGCACCACATTGGAACTTTTAAGGACAACATATATTCTAGAAATCAACAATCAGATACAACAGCAAAAGAAATTACCAGTGAACGGAATGTCCAGAAACAATTTAAGTTCTAAACTGCTATATTAAAAAAATAAAATTAAATAAAAAAAAATAAACCACTATATTACACAGTTACTGCCTTAAAACCTTTAAAGATATAGTACTAGAAAACTGATAATGAAATAAATTAAATCAATTCTTTGAAATTCCTATTACACTTTTTTAATATGAAACTGGAACTTCTGATGCCGAGCAGGGCCCTGTGGGCCTCCTGGGCATGGAAGCCTTTTTGTCCCCATCCTTAAAGGCAAGACTCAGGCCTCTGTGATCAAGATGGGGATCAGAGGAGGAGCAGCAAGGAAACCACCTGAGGCAAGATAAAGAGAAGCAGAAAGGCTCACCAAGATCAGGAGACCACTGCATACACCCTAATCCTGTCAGCACCCCCACCCTTCTGAAACCTGAAGGAATGAAGACTGTTACTGCCTTGAAAATTACCACATACCCCAGGTTGACTATCTAACCTCTCCCTATTCAGGGAAGGGGGACTCAGTTTTTGAGGCACTAGCCTCCTGTGTTCCCCATTTGCCTGGCAAAGTAATAAAGCCACTCTTTCCTTGTCCATAACTCTGTCTCCGTACTTCTGTTTGGCAGTGGTGCACAGATAGCCAAGATTTTGACAACACTTTCTCCATTTCACAGACCTTATCCTACAGCCCAGAAGAATCAGGGTGAGAAGCATACTAACCAAAATCACCCACAAAACAACTACCACTGATTCTAATTTCAGCAAAACTAACTTTTGGCCTTTTTTTTCTGAATCACCGTGTAATAATAGGGGAAGTAATCTTATAAAATCAATTTTAAAATCATCTATTTTAGCTGATTTATATTATAAAAATCACTAAGTATAAATATCTACCTAAAATCATATCTAAGTGAAGTCTTAACATGTCTCCAGAGACTTCAACCAAAACGTATAAAAAGATCGTTTTTTTCTATTTTTATTTTCCACAAAGAGTAGGATGTGACTTAGCAACTGAACATTTTCTACAAAACCACTCAAGATCACCAGTAACCTCTATGTTGCTAAGTCCAGTGGTCAACTCCCAGTTCTCAAACACTGACCACGTTTTAACTCAGAGGGAGCTCCTGAATCCTTTCTCCACACGGCCTCCAGGCCACTGCAGCCTCCCCCTCTTCTCCTCTCTCCCAGGCCTCTCCTTCTCAGTCTCCTCTACTAGCGCCTCCTCATCTCCCGGGCTCCTCCATGTTTGTCCCAGGGCTCTGTCTTTGTACCTCCTTTCTTTCTACACTCACTGCCTTGCTGTCTCATATGGTCTCACAGGTTTAAAAGCCATCAATGCACTAATGACTCACAAATGTGTAACTCAGTGCCGAACATCTCCCTTAACTCTAGAATCAAATATCAAATCACCTGACTTACTAGTCTCTACTTAATGTCTAACAGATGTCTCAGACTTGGTATCCAAATCTCAGTTCTCAATTTTCAAACTCCTCTTAAGGTCCTCCCCATCTCAGCAAATGTAACATCCTTTTTTTTAACAGTTTAGGCCAAAAGCTGTGGTGTTATCCTTGATCCATCTCTTTCTTACACATCCCACATCCAATCCAGCAGCAAATCCTATCAGATCTGTATTCAGAATACATCCAGAATCTGACCACTTCTACCATCTCACCCAGATTACTATACTTCATTTAGTTTATTTACTAGATATTTATTAAGTACCTATTACAAACAAAGCTAGTGGAGGTGATGGAATTCCAGTTGAGCTATTTCAAATCCTGAAAGATGATGCTGTGAAAGTGCTGCACTCAATATGCCAGCAAATTTGGAAAACTCAGCAGTGGCCACAGGACTGGAAAAGGTCAGNTCTGTCTTTCCTCACTACAAAGGCAAATCTTGTCCCTACTGCTCTGGATTCCTTTCCATTTTGCCTTCACAAGAACATCAACCTTTCCTCCCTTCCATGCGGTTACCAACTTCTTTAATATGTTACGTCTTAGCAGTATCTCATACATCTGACTCTTCCTTCCTTCTTGAAAACTTCTCTTGGCTTCCATAACACTAGACTCATTTAGTTTGATGAGTTGTTTGTCAGAGAAACTAGCATTACTTATCCTAACTAATCAAATACCATGCTTTTAAATAGTGTCTTTACACTAGTGATCCTTAAATGTGCATCTACAACTCGAACTTGTTTGAATTCCAAACGATATATCCAGCTGTGTACTCAACATCTCTACCTGTGCAGTCAGGATCTTAACGCTCTTCCAACCTACCTTCCACTCCCTCCCCCCAACAAGCCCTAATGGTACCATCATCCCACGGCCTAAGCAGAAACCTAGGACTAAGTTTTGACTTTCTTTCTTTCATTCTAAATCCAACAATCCACGTCCTGTCTATTTTCCCTCTTTGTTGTTGTTGTTAAGTGGCACATCGTGTCCTACTCTTCTGTGATCCCATGGATTGGGACCTTCCAAGCAAGAAGGCTGGGGAGGGCCCCCATTTCCCTTCTCCAGGGGATCTTCCCAACCCAGGGATCAAAGCCTCGTCTCCTACATTGCAGGTGCATCCTTCTACTGCTGAGCAACCAAGGAAGTTCATCTTCCCCTTAAAGCTCTCCAAGCAGCCTGTGCACACTCAGTTCCTTCAGTCGCGTCCCACTCTCTGCAACCCCAGGGACCGTGGCCCACCAGGCTCCTGTGTCCATGGATTCTCCAAGCAAGGATACTGAGTGGGTGGGCACGCCTCCTCCAGGGGATCTTCCCAAACCAGGGGTTGAGCCCACATCTCCTGCACTGCAGGCCGAGTCTTTGCTGCCGAGCCACCAGGGACGCCCACGACTCTTCAGCTCTACTTCTAAACCATCGCCACTCTCTCACCTGGACTACCCTGAAAGCTCCGGAACAGTCTCCCCACTCTCACTCTTGTCTCTTTCATCACACACAGAGCAATCAAAGTGAGCGTCTTTCAACTGAAGTCAAATCATCTCACCCCAATGCTTAAGAAATGGTAACGGTTTGCCAGTGCGCTTTGAAAGTATATAAATATTAAAATCCCTTATCATACCCTAAAGCCTTTAGGACCTGGCTCAAACACTCCATCCTCATATCCATATCCTCACTTTAAGGCTGAGATCTCGCCACCATCATCCTATCCTAACAGAAACCTTTAAAACAAAAACAAAACAACAACAAACAAAAAACCAACAATATATCTAGCATACTTTTTTGGGGGTCTGCCTGTGCAACTTGTGGGACCTTAGTTCCCTGACTAGAGACCAAAACCCAGCCCTCAGCAATCAGAGGAGGGCTGCCAGAGAATTCCCTCTATCTAGCAAACTTCTATTTATTCAAGATAACTTACATACACTTCCTCTGGGAAGTCTTCCCTGAACCCTTTCTTCTTCCCTAACCTCAAACTAAGAATTGGGTTTATCACCTCTAGTATCCCATAATATTCTATAAGAGAGTCATTACTGCACTTGTTATAACAAAAGTTTGTTTAAAAACGATGGTTTACTACTTCCAAGAAACTATATGCTCTTTAAGCTGAGGAATTATATCTTAATCATCTCCCAAGTCCCAAAAACCAGCACAAAGTATACACAAATATTTGCTAAGCAAAATGACTTCAAAGTCACCATTATTCTCGTAAGACTATCATATTTATAGTCCCACAGTTAGTTCCCAGGAAGTTCTTTACACATAGTACATATAAACTGTTATGTTGAATAACCTGCCTTTAAGAAATGAGAAGCTGTTGCTGCTGCTGCTGCTGCTAAGTCGCTTCAGTNTTTCCCTAAATGTGTAAAATATCAAAGAAATTATACAATAAGCATGAATTCCTTTTCTAATGAGAAAAAAATAAGAGGAAGAAAATAGGAGGTAGAAACTGGAAATATGAATGATTCTTTATCTCTAAAGCTTGCAAAAATATAGTTAGCATTTGTTGTTCTAGTAGAATAAAACACTGCCAACCCTGCATTATCTAAAACATACAATGTGTCATGAATGCTTCTAGAACACAAAATTTTAAGGTAAATTCAGAGAGATTTATCAAGAATTTTATGTTGTATTCCCTTTACTTTTTAACAAGGGTCACAAGTCAAAGCAGACCTAATTACCAGTAAAGATCCAGCTGGTTGTCAGGAGGCCTGGGGTTCTGTCTAGGGCCCACAACTGCTCAGATGGTGTGAGTGTAGTGACTCAGTGAGCACAACAATTAAAAGTTTAGCTTTCGGGGGTCAAAATACTCCAATACAACAAAAAGGAAAACTTTTTTATTCCTGACCCTTCATCTCCAAGAGAAAGAAAAAAAAAAGCAAAGCACACACTCTATTTCTCAGAGTGGTATAAAGCTGTCTGGGGCTTAGCACTTCACTGGCTGCCGTCCACCCCCAGTCAGGACATACGTGTCCCTTTATCTACCAAGAAGTCAGTATCCTGATATTTGTCATTGCTATGAGCAGACTACATTAAAATTCTGACTTTTAAGCTGTTTTTCTAATTCCAAATAAAAAATAATTCTCTTTTGACAAGATCTTTATGATTTTGTTTTTCTCACAAATAAGTGTAGCAGGTAACTCTAATAGTAAAGCATCCAGGAAACACACGCCAAGTTAAAAAAGAAGTCAGACATCTAAGTGCAGAGGTTTCTTCATAACTCTATAGGGGGAAAAAAATGTAAAAAAAAAGAAAAAAGATTCAATACTAAGTTAGAGATAACAAGGGGAAAAAAGTTAAAATGTCTGAAGAGTAAGACCTATAAAGAAAAGTGTAAAGAACTGTAATCAATTCATCGAAAGAAAGTACAATGAAAATTCAAGTACAAGTGAAAATGCCTATAAAAATGGTTAGAACATAAAGAAACTTATATTTCATTTTTGTTAAGGAAAAATATTTCCTTGCCCTAAGACTTATTTAGATTATCTTTCAATAAGACTTTTATCCATCATTTATATGGTTTTACTGACTGAAGATTTAATATAAAATGTGAAGAAAAGCTGACAAACCAGAAGAATCAGAAAACATGAATTAAAAAATGACTACGGAATCTTCTCTTCCAACAATTTAAAATAACTAGGCAGACATACTAGAGATGTGTATATAATTAGTAAGCATGCACAGTTCACTAAAAAATCCTTTAATTTTGTTTCAAAACATCTTCTAGAAAAAACATTAGGTTGAAGTCAGTTAAAATTTAAAACTTTAATTCTTCAAAAGAAACTGTTAAAGAGAATGAAAAGGCAAGCCACAAACTGGAGAAAAGACTTTGAAAAAGCATATGAAGTTCCAATACTTTGGCCATCTGATGCAAAGAGCCAACTCACTGGAAAAGACCCTGATGCTGGGAAAGACTCAGGGCGGGAGGAGAAGGGCTGACAGAGGATGAGATGGTTGGATGGCGTCACCAACTCGATGGACATGAGTTTGAGTAAACTCCAGGAGACAGTGGAGGACAGGGAAGCCTGGCATGCTGCAGTTCAAGGGGCTGCTAAGAGTTGGACATGACTTAGCAACTGAACAACAAAAAAGGACTTGTATTTACAACATATAAAGAACATAAAAACTCAAAAATAAAACAACCCAATTTTATTTTTACAACCCAATTTTAAAAATCAGCAAAGGAACTTCCCTGGTGACCCAGTGGCTAAGACTCTGTGTTCCCAATGCAGAGGTCCTAGGCTGGATCCCTGGCCAGGGAACTAGATTCTACATTCTGCAACTAAGAGTTTGCATACCACAGCTAAAGATTCCACATGCCCCATCTTATGATCTGCAGTGCCACACAAAGATCGGAGATTCCAAGTGCTGCAACTAAGACCCTGTACAGTCAAATTAAAAAAATTTTAAATCAGCAAAAGATTTTGACCTTTTGCAAAAGAAGATATGTGAACTGCCAAGAAGCATATGAAACGATGCTCAACATCATACCACAATAAGACAGTACTAAGCCCCTATTGGGGCTTCCCTAGAGCTCAGTTGATAAAGAACGGGTAATATTAAAAAGACTGATCAAATCAAGTGTTAGGATATAGAGCAAAGAAGAGTCCTCATACTGATAGGCAGGAATGCAAACCGTTATGACTTTGAAGAGTTTGGCAGTTTTTTGAAAGGTTAAATGTACACCTACTGTATGATCCCCCCTCTCCTAAAGATTTACACACGGGAAAAGAAAATATATGCCATACAAAGAACTGCACATGAACGTTCATAGTAAGTTAGCATGCAACAGCCAAAAACTGAAAACCCAAAGGACCATCAAAGAATGAATGAATGAACAAATCTAATTTAAACGGGTGTAGCTATAACAATGGACCACTACTTGGCAATAATAAGGGATGAGTTAATGATACACACAAGCACACGTGTAAATCTCAAAATAATAATGCTGAGTGAAAGGTGCCAGAGATCGTTAGCAAAAGAGTATGTTTCCATTTATTTTAAAAATTATACAAAATGCAAACTAAATCTATAGTGACAGAAAGCAGATTACCGGTTGCCTGCAGAGGGAGGGATTATCAAGGGCTGGAGGAAACCTGAAGAGGTGATGATTATGTTTACTATCTTGTGTTTCGTTTCATACGGGGTGTGCGGGGGCACATCTGGTCAAAACGTATCCAACTGTACACTTTAAAGTCTGTTGGGTCAAACTCAAAGATGAAAAAGTCCTCAAAAGTCATTCTTTAAAAAGAAAAAAAAAAGATTTTAAAAAACTAAGCAAAACAAAAACCTCCAGTCTCGGTGTGGATCAATTTCACCGCTGGGAACTGCCCTTCCTCCTCTTAAGCCTTCCTTCATCTCAAGACCGACACTCTTCCGAGAACCCTGAAAGGTTTACAAAACTCTTGACTAAACTTCAAAGTCCTGCCCCTTGAGTTCTCGTGTCCTCAGTCCCTGCCACACAGAAACCTCCTATCCACCTTCCTGTTCGCAACGTTTAGCCTTACTGAAGAGTGACAAGTGCCCCTATTCCCTCCAGTCCAGGCTCCCAAACATTCATCCACGAGCTTCACCGAGCTGTGCTCGGTCCCGAAACACCGCTACCGAAAGCTGCGCCCCCACAGCCCACCACCCACCCCGGACCCGCCCGTGCGCGGGGACTCGAACACCCGGGTCCCTGTTACCTGCCACCGGCTGGCCGCGCCGCGGACAATTCAGCCACCGCGGCGGGATCTTGTTGTGAGCCATGTCTTGGGGCCGCACACAGCCGCCCCTCCACCAACGCTCGCCGCGCCTCGCCGCCGCCTCCTCGCGGGCCGCTCTGAACCGGAGGTCTGAGGTACCCGAATCCCGGGCGGCGTCCGAACCCCAGCCGCTCGGACGCGGGTAATGTCAGCGGCGGCGCGCCACTTCCATTCAGGCTCAACTCTAGGCGAACCCACAATGCACCGCCACTTCCGCCCCCAAAGGCCCCACCCACTTCTTTCCGAGGTCAGAGGTGAAAAAGAGACGCTGGCGGAGGGATGGGAAGGAGTTAAGGCCAAGGCGAATGGAAGGGGCGGGTCTTCCCTCGCCCCGCCCCTCCCCGCCCCGCCCCGATCTCGGAGCGTTCTGCGGGCGGCTTTGCACGCGCTCAGCTGCCCTAGTACGGGATACCGCAGAACTACCGTTCTTCACATTTCTGTCTAGACAGCCGATGGAAACCCTGGAGAATGAAAGGAAACCAAGCCTCTTTCCAAGCGCAGAGTGGTCTGCAGATTTCGTTAAGGCATCTGTTTTCCTGGCGAAAGGGGTTTTCCCGCCGCCGTCATACCCCAAGAGCCTGATCGCCCTTTTTTCGGCCAACTTTGGCGTCCCGGCAGGATCTAGGTTTGATTGGGAATTTGGAAAGTTCTTCCTGACTTGGATTAGCGGAACAAGCTTTAGAGAAACTCTAAGGGCAAGCGATTGGAGCACCAGAAATGGATTTCTCTTTGGGGGTGTGCTTCTAGGGATCCATGAAGCATCTGAAATTAACCCCAAACCATGTCTTATGAGTGTTGTTTCTACATTTCTGGAGCAGTTTTATAGTGTATTTGGGAGTCTCACAGTTACCAACTAATGTGTGTAATTGGCAAAGGCAGGAACTGCTCAGTGGAGTACCGCTAAGTGGCAGTGTTCTCAATTTGGCTTACAAAATGGTCTTTCCTTCGAGTTAAGCAGGTGCGATTGGAGGCATCTTCCAATTCCAGGTGATTGAAAGCTCATTTTATAAACTGTGTCCTGTAATAGACTTTATAGCTACCAGACTAATTTAGTTAAAGTACTGAATATAAAGCTGGATGCTGGCAAGTTAATTATAGTGTTAACAGATTGGTTTTAAATATCAGTGCTATATTTGAACTGCAAGAGAATGCGGTTTGGGGCAGGGCAGGGAATGCGTGTTAAAGCAGTGGTCCCCAACATTTTTGGCCAGTTTCATGGGAGACAGTTTTTCCACGAATCAGGCTGGGGAGAGGGTGTTGGTTTCAGGATGATTCAAGCGCATTTCTATTCATTGTGCACTTTTATTTCGATTATTATGACACCACCTCCACTTTAGATCATCAGGCATTAGATCCTGCAGGTTGGGGATCTCATGTTAAAGTGCTGGTGAGAAACTTGTGGGACTGCTCATCTCCCAAATGCCTGGACCCTCTCAATATGATCAGAATTCTCCCCTGAAATAGAGCGGGCTGTCTCTGTTTGAGAGACCCTGAATTAGTTGGCACTCCTGGTCTGTCTGGCTGTTATATCTGTTGAGACCTTTTAGTGAAAGTAACACTCCTCTGCTAACAGGAAAAGATAAGACTGAGTTGCCTTACAAACCAGCAACCTGCCCAGATGATGGCCAGTTCTGGTGTCTGCTGGCAGAGTGGAGTTGGGAGCAATCAAAGAGGAGACCAAGAGATGTGAATGAGAATGAGTTTGTGGTTCCAGAAAGCCAGGGAGGTCTCACGTTGGTCGCTCTGTGAGCATCTGTTTTTCCTCTTGGAGAAGGGCAGAGAGGTGAGAGTAGGGGTAAATAAGACTGAATTTTCCCTGTTAACAAAAAGGAAAAAGACAAGCCCTTTACCTAGAGCATTTTCTTTCAAAAACTTTTATTTATAAATCCTGCCCCATCGCTTTAATACCTATATATAAGTCTTTTGAACAGCTCAGTAAGCCTCTTGCCTGCTTTACAACCCAAGAACTTTTCTCAGGGTCTGGAGAGCCGCTTCTTTGTGAACAGGAAGAAAGATAACACCCCCCTGTCTCCTTATCACCCCGGGAATTTAACCTAAAGAAAGCAGAGACATCACTTTGCCACCCAAGGTCCCTACAGTCAAAGCTATGGTTTTTCCAGTTAGTCCTGTATGGATGTGAGAGCTGGACCATAAAGAGAGCTGAACGCCAAAAAATTGATGCTTTTGAACTGTGGTGTTGGAGAAGACTCTTGAGAGTCCTTTGGACTGCAAGGAGATCCAACCAGTCCATCCTAAAGGAAATCAGTCCTGGGTGTTCATTGGAAGGACTGATGCTGAAGCTGAAACTCCAATACTTTGGCCACCTCATGAGAAGAGCTGACTCATTGGAAAAGACCCTGATGCTGGGAAGGATTGAAGACAAAAGCAGAAGGGGACAACAGAGGATGAGATGCTTGGATGGCATCACCGACTCGATGGACATGAGTTTGAGCAAGCTCCGGGAGTTGGTGATGGACAGGGAAGCCTGGCGTGCTGCAGTCCATGGGGTCGCCAAGAGTCGGACACGACTGAGCGACTGAACAGCAACAACACCAGGTTCCAAGCTGTGAGTCGCAAAGACAGAACCCATGTCTCTCATGTCTCCTGCGTTGGCAGGCGGGTTCTTTACCACCAGCACCACCTGGGAAGCCCTCTGTGTGTGTGGCTATGTCCAGATTTCCAGTCCATGTACTGGATTCTGGCCTACCCTAATCCTGTGTAAACTTATCAAGTTTCCATCTGCAAAAACCTATTTCCAAATAAAGCCACACTCAGAAGTACAAGGTTAGAAATTGAACATATCTTTTGGGACAATTCAGTCCAGAAAACCCACCATGACTTCTGGAGGCACGTCCAGACTTGCAGAAACATAAGCCCTTCTGAATCCCAGGAATTTGGCTGCTCTGTGTCTTCCTTTTTCAGAGAACCATTCCATTTTTCTAAAAAGTCAGAGACTGAGACACAGGCCTTAAAAATCACCTTCCTTGTCCCTCCCTTTCTTTGAATACTGCAAGTGGAACCCAGCGGTATCCTTCCTGGGACAGACCCCTCCCACCATATCCTCTGCTTAACCTCCTCTCTGAACATCGCATGCGCATTTTCTGTGCTGTTCTAGATCCTAAAACCCCCATCAACGCAACTACCTGGCCGTCTAGTGGTTAGGGCTCCTCGCTTCCACTGCAGGGGGCGCACTGATCCCTGATCAGGGGGCTAAGATGCTGCAAGCCTCTCGAAGTAGCCAAAAAGTAAAAACCCCACTAAACTATTATAATAACATAGAACATAACAGTACATTATGACTAGAGCATGTAGCCCCCCAGACCTACAGGAACCTGAGGATTGATCATGTTAACCCCTGTAACATCAATATCAGCCGATAAGAAAATGGTGCATAAGCTGATCACATCCCCTGGATTTTTTTTTTTTTTTTTAGTTGCAGCATGTGGGATCTAGTTTCTTTGACCAGGGACTGAACTTGGGTCCCCTGAAGTGGAAATGTAGAGCCTTAACCACCAGACCACCAGGGATGTCCCTCACCTTGCCTTTAAAAGTGCCTCCTTGAAACCCGTTGGGGAGTTTGGGCTTTCTGAGTACTAGCTGCCTTGGACTCCATGTCTGGTGCCTTGCAATAAATGCCTTTCCTTCATCACAAACTGGTGTCCATAGATTAGTTTGACTGTGTGACATTGTGGACCAAGTTTGGTACAGTAGTACTAGGAGATGTGGGAAATGAGATATCTTGAGCAAACTCAAAATCACCTCCCATAAATTAACACATTGTAAATCAACTATACTTCAGTTTTCTAAAAAATTATTCAGTGGTCTAGAGCTTAAAGCCTCATTGCCTGTTTATGATTTGTTGTCCTTCATGTTTTTATTTTCTATCCTGGGCATATTTACAGGGTTTGATTTTGGTTTACTTCTGTAGGCCCTCTTGGCATGAGAGACACACATCAGTTGAATGGCCTCCTTAATTGTTTAATTGTAAACCTGTTTAATTTAACAACATCAATTCCCCAACAAAGTCTCAACATGAAATGACTCCAGTTCCAGGGTTGCAAATATATGCCCAACTCTGAACAAGTCACCAACCTGCACACAAGAATACCACATCTATTTTCAAATCAACTCAATCCTGATTCTGAATTCCTGTTATTAATATATAGGTCATGTAGGAGAGGGGAAATGATGTTCCCTCTACTTTTCTTTGCTGAGATCTCCGGTCATAAAAGACAAGAGAGAAACAAACAGAAGATTATTAACATGGACATCTCACATATGGATGTGAGATACCCAGGGAAGCTGAGACAGCCAGCACCATAAATACTAACGTCTTTGGCTAAAGATGAAAGAAAGATGTTGGGGGAAAGGAGACACCGTGGTGACCCAAGGATGAAAGAGCAGATAAAACCAAGGAGGATCTTGGAATGCAGGAACAGAAAAACCAGACCGTCCTTCCCTCCCCCATGTTTTAATTATTAATGGAACAGTGTAACCTGTCTCCTCTCCTTCCCCATAGGGAGAAAGTATTTGCCCTATCCTTCCCCCACCCAGTATACATGCCTCATCCAATCAGCAAATGACCCTCAAGACCTCGATCCCCCTCCTTGTACCTTTGTTGTAGCCACGTGTTCCGGGAAACAAACTCACTCAGAAGGACCATGCAGATAGTGGGGTGCAGTTTATTACACCGGCGGGCCCAAGGCAGAGTCTCCTCTTAGCCAAGGACTCCAGCCAGTTTTTGTGAAAACCTTAAATACCCTAGGTGTACTTGCTCAAACCCACCTCCCCAAATTCCTTGAAACTAGTCTGGACAAGGTAAAAGAGAGATACGAACAAAGTTAACCCATGATTCATGTGTCACAAGACCAGATAAACAGTGGACACTTATCAGTAGGACTGTGGTCATATCCCAATAGACATAATGGACTTTATGACTCTGTTACAGAGATAATTAGCATGTTCTTTTAGGCAACAGAGAGTCCAAATCCAAGTCCTGAGGCTCTTTTATCCAGGGGGTCTGCTTTCCCACTGGTGTGCCCTTTCTATAGACACCGGGCGCAAAGTTCAGAGTCCGCTGGGAGGGTGACCATGCGTGCAGCCTAATGTTTGCAGCCTGGCCTCAGACGGAGTCCAGCTCTGTCTGTTTCCTCCTTCACCTTGGGCATTACAGTGTACCAGGGACCCCTGTTC